TTCAATAAGTAGCACTGGGAAAACTGGACAGCTGCATGTAAAAGAATAAAGTTGGGGGGCAGAGTAAAGATGGTGGACTAAGAGGATGCAGAATTCGCATCTCTGCACAACTAGGGCACCAAACAGGCACCAGTGGGGGACCATGGACACCTAAGGGGAAGGGAGGAACCCCCAGAAACCGGGTAGGATATGGGGCATGGGGGGGAGTGAGGGGGGAGGAGAAGTGGAGGCGGGACAGGACTGGTGCCCCTGAGGGGTGGCTGGGGGAAGGGAAGGGATCCCACCCCTGAAGGGGGAAATTGGGGGACCATCAGGAGGGCAGAGGATCAAAAGGGAGTGTGGCCAGGTTTCCCCTGCCCACTTGGGCCCCCGGGAGCCTGCTGAGATCCCAGGCCTGATCCTCTGCCCACCGAGGCCCCTTCCAGCCACACGGGTCCTGAGGGAGTAGGAGGGAGGGAAGGGGGAACAAAAGTAAAGGTCACACCTACAGGACCGGCACCCCTGAGGCGTGGCTGGGGGAGGGGAGGAGTTCCTACACCCAGCGGGACCCACCCACTGTTAGGGGTCCAGCGGCAAACAGGGAGTCCCTGGGTGGGGGCAGAGGAATGGAAAGGAATGCAGCCAGTGATTTCCCTGTCCACTTAGGCACCGGGGAGCCTGTTGGGCTCCTGGGCCTAATCCTCTGCCCTTGGAGCCACCCTCCTACCATGCAGAGCCCAAGCCCCGCCTCTACACCCCCATCCAAGGCCCAACCTCTACACTTAAAGACCCCATCTGAGACCCCCTCCAACTGCACTGGGCCTAAACCCCCCCACACACACACCCTCACCCAGGGCCTTACCTCCAAACTCCAGAACTCCACACTCTGGAGGCCCCCCTTGGACGTGCTGCCTCTCCCCTTCCATGCAGATCCTAAGCAGAGGCTCCACCCCACCCTAAACCCCACCCCTGACTAAGTTCCACCCCTGCCTAAACTCTGCCCCCCATAGCCAAGGGTTTTTGGTTTTTTCTTCTTTTAGGGTGGGGATCTGTTCTACCTTGTTGTTGTTGATTCATTTATATTTTTATTTTTTCTAATAAATCTTTTATTTTTCTAATTTGATTTTATTCTTTATACTTTGTTATTGTTCTGCTCCTTTTGGCCTGTTCCCCCCCCCTTTTTTTTCTTTTCTTTTTTCTGTTGTGGTTTTGTTTTACCTTGTTGCAGTTGTTTCAATTATATTTTTATTTTTCCAAATATAATTTTTATCTTTCTAATATTTTTTTTCTTTGTTATTGTACAGCTCCTTTTTTTTCTTTTTTTGCTGTGCCACGCAGCTTGCGGGATCTTGGTTCCCAGGCCAGAGGCTGGGCCCAAGCTCCTGTGGTGGGAGCACTGAGTGCAAACCACTGGACTAACAGAGAACCTTGGACCCCAGGGAATATTGAAGTGGGCCTCCCAGAGGTCCTTATCTCAGCACCAAGACTCAGCTCTACCCAACTGCCTGTAAGTTCCAGTGCTGGACGCCTCAAGCCAAACAACCAGTAAGACAGGAATACAGCCCCCACCCATCAAAAAAAAAAATGAAATGACAAAAAAATATGTTACAGATGAAGAAGCAAGGTAAAAACCTACAAGACCAAATAAATGAAGATGAAATAGGCAACCTACCTGAAAAAGAATTCAGAGTAAGGATAGTAAAGATGATCCAAAATCTCAGAAACAGAGCTTAACTGAAGATGGCGGAAGAGTAAGACGAGAAGATCACCTTCCTCCCCACAAATACATCAGAAATACATTTACATGTGGAACAACTTCTACAGAACACCAACTGAATGCTGGCAGAAGACCTCAGACTTCCCAAAAGATACATATATATTTTTCCCTTTTCTCTTTTTGTGAGTGTGTATGTGTATGCTTCTTTCTGTGACTTTGTCTGTATAGCTTTGCTTTTACCATTTGTCTTAGGGTTCTGTCTGTATGGTTTTTTTCTTTCTTTTTATTACTTTTTAATTTTTAATTATTTTTTTTTTATTTTAATAACTTTATTTTATTTCATTTCATTTTTTTCTTTCTTTCATTCTTTTTTTCTCCCTTTTCTTCTGAGCTGTGTAGCTGACAGGGTCTTGGTGCTCCAGCCAGGTGTCAGGGCTGTGCCCCTGAGGTGGGAGAGCCAAGTTCAGGACATTGGTCCACAAGACACCTCCCAGCTCCACGTAATATCAAGCAGCGAAAGCTCTCCCAGAGATCTCCATCTCAATGCTAAGACCCAGCTCCACTCAACGACCAGCAAGCTACAGTGCTGGAGACCCTATGCCAAACAACTAGCAAGACAGGAACACAACCCCAGCCATCAGCAGAGAGGCTGACTAAAATCACAATAAGGTCACAGGCACCCCAAAACACACCACCGGACACAGTCCTGCCCACCAGAAATACAGGATCCAGCCTCATCCACCAGAACACAGGCACCTGTCCCGTCCACCAGGAAGCCTACACCACCCACTGAACCAACCTTAGCCACTGGGGGCAGACACCAAAAACAGCGGGAACTACGAACCTGCAGCCTGCGAAAAGGAGACCCCAAACACAATAAGTTAAGCAAAGTGAGAAGACAGAGAAACACACAGCACATGAAGGAGGAAGGTAAAAACACATCAGACCAAACAAATGAAGAGGAAATAGGCAGTCTACCTGAAAAAGAATTCAGAGTAATGATAGTAAAGATGATCCAAAATCTTGGAAATAGTTTGGAGAAAATACAAGAAACGTTTAACAAGGATTTAGAAAAACTAAAGGGCAAACAAACAGTGATGAACAACACAATACCTGAAATTAAAAATACTCTAGAAGGAATCAATAGCAGAATAACTGAGGCAGAAGAATGGATAAGTGAGCTGGAAGATAAAATGGTGGAAATAACTGCTGGGGAGCAGAATAAAGAAAAAAAGAATGAAAAGAATTGAGGACAGTCTCAGAGACATCAGGGACAACACTAAACACACCAGCATTCAAAGTATAGGGGTCCCAGAAGACGAACAGAAAAAGAAAGGGTCTGAGGGCTTCCCTGGTGGCGCAGTGGTTGAGAATCTGCCTGCCAATGCAGGGGACACGGGTTCGAGCCCTGGTCTGGGAATATCCCACATGCCGCGGAGCAACTAGGCCCGTGAGCCACAGCTACTGAGCCTGCACGTCTGGAGCCTATGCTCCCCAACAAGAGAGGCCGCGATAGTGAGAGGCCTGTGCACCGCGATGAAGAGTGGCCCCTGCTCGCCGCAACTAGAGAAAGCCCTCACACAGAAATGAAGACCCAACACGGCCAAAAATAAATAAAATTTTTAAAAAAAGAAAGGGTCTGAGAAAATATTTGAAGAGATTATAGTTGAAAACTTCCCTAACATGAGAAAGGAAATAGTCAATCAAATACAGGAAGAGCAGAGAGCCCCATACAGGACAAACCCAAAGAGAAACATGCTGAGACACATATTAATCAAACTATCAAAAATTCAATACAGGGCTTCCCTGGTGGCATTTTTTGGCCAACCCAATAATATTGTATATCAACTATACTTCAACAAAAAAAAAGTGGTGCTAGAACAACTGAATATTCATATAGAAAATAAAGGAATCTCATGAGGGACAAAAATGAACCTCTACCTTTCCTCATATCATACATTAAAATTAACCTGAAACAGATCATATACATAAATGAAAATCTAAAACTGTTAAGACTTCTAGAAGAAAACTGTTGTGATCCCGGGTTGAGAAAGATTTCTCAGTACACAGAAAATATTAAATAGAAAAGAAAAAATGATCAATTAAACTTCATTAACATTAAGAACTAAACACTTCTGCTCTTTGGAAGAAAAAAGTTAAGAAATGGAAAGGCAAGCCAGAGACTGAGAGAAGATATTCTCAATACACATATCTAAAAAAGGACTTTGCTCTTACAAAATTCAATAATACAAAACCAAACAACCTGTTAAAAAATGTGAAATGACATAAACAGACAATTTACAACACGGATTTACAAATGTTCAATCAGCACACGAAAAGATGATTAATACCATTAGTCATCAGGGAAATACATGTTAAAACCACAATGAGGTACCACTATATACCCAATGGAATGGCAAAATTGAACAGATTGACAAATAATGGAGATACATTGTTGGTGGGAATGTAAAATGGTACAACTGTTATGGAAAACAGATGGCAGTTAAAAATACACCTACAGGGCTTCCCTGGTGGTGCAGTGGTTGAGAATCCACCTGCCGATGCAGGGGACGCAGGTTCGTGCCCCGGTCCGGGAGGATCCCACGTGTTGCGGAGCGGCTGGGTCGTGGGCCATGGCCGCTGAGCCTGCGTATCCGGAGCCTGTGCTCCGTGACGGGAGAGGCCACAGCAGTGAGAGGCCCGTGTACCGCAAAAAAAAAAAAAAAAAAAAATACACCTACCATACGACCCAGTAATTCCACTCCTAGGAATTTACTCAAAAGAAATTAAAATCTATATCCACAAAAAGACTTATGCATGATTGCTATTGGCAACTTTATTAATGATAACTGGAAATGACCCAAATGTCCAACATGTGAAACAAACTGCAGTATAACCATAGAATGCGAAATAAGACAGCAGTAAAAAGGAGCAAATTATTGATTCATGTATCAATATGGACGAACCTCAAAACATTCTGCAAAATGAAAGAAGCCAGATACAGAAGAGTATATATAATTTTTAAAATAAATTTATTTTATTTATTTATTTTTGGCTGCATTGGGTCTTCGTTGCTGTATGTGGGCTTTCTCTAGTTGCAGTGAGCGAGGGCTACTCTTCATTGCGGTGTGCAGGCTTCTCATTGCGGTGGTTTCTCCTGTTGCAGAGCACAGGCTCTAGGCATGCAGGCTTCAATAGTTGTGGCTTGCGGGCTCTAGAGCGCAGGCTCAGTAGTTGTGGTGCACGGGCTTATTTGCTCCGCGGCATGTGGGATCTTCCGGGACCAGGGCTCGACCTGTGCCCCCTGCACTGGCAGGCGGATTCTTAACCACTGTGCCACCAGGGAAGCCCTATAGTATATAACTTATTACACCATTTATATAAAATCCTAGAACACACAAAATCAATTTACAATATGGTACTTTTTATGTTATATATATACATATATTGTACCACAACAAAAATAATGAAAAATAATCTGCAGTGACAGAAAGCAAACAAATGGTTTCTGGAACCTGAAGTTGACTGCAAAGGGGCATGAAAAAACTTTTTGGGGTGACGGAAATGTTCTGTAGCTTCATTATGGAAGTGGTTACATGGATGCATATACTTGTCAAAATTCATCTAAAATGGGTATATCTTATTATATGTAAATCATACCTCAATAAAATTGATTTAAAAAGTAAAAACATACACACACACAAAACTTTACTTACAAATGCAGGAGAAAAAAAAGTCTGGGAAACAAAGTATATGAAGGCCCAGTTAAAAGCACTGAAAAATAGTCATTTCAGTCTTTGTTTCAAAGGTCCTACTGTGATGTCAGGGCATTAATTTAATGTTGCTGTAATAAATTATCACCATCTCAGATGTTTAAAACAATACAAACTTATTGTCTCACAGTGTTTTCTGTGGGTCAGGAGTCTGGGCTGAGTTCTTTGCTTACCTTGAATCAAGGTGTCTGCAGGGATGTGATCTCATCTGAGGTTTGGGGTCCCCTTCCAGGCTCATTCAGGTTCCTTAGCAGAATTGGTTCCTTGTGGTTGGATGACTGGAGTTATCGTTTTCTTGCTGGCTCTCAACTCCTAAAGGCTGCCCTCAGTTCCTAGACATGTGGCTCTCTCATAACTTGGACACTATTTCATCAAAGTCAGCAAGAAAATCTCTTTTAAGGGTTCACCTGATAAGTTCAGGCCCACCAAGGATAGTCTCCTTTTTGACTAATTCAAAGGGCATTAATCGCATCTGCAAAACTCTTTCATCTTTGCCATACAACATAATCTAACCACAAGACTCATATCCTATACATAGATTCTTCCACAATCAAGGGGAGGGGATTACATAAGATATGTACACCATGGGTGGGAATCTTAGAGGCCACCTGGAATTCTGCCTATAGCCCTGAACAATTCATGCCTCTCCCAAAGGAAAAAAAAAAAAAAAACTGTGTACTCCGTCCCCAGATTCCCCTCTCATCACATTACAGCATCAGCTCAAAATCCAAGATCTCATCATCTAAATCATTTACATCTGAGCAAATGAGGCTCCTGGCTATAATTCACTAAGTGCAGTTCCTCAAAGCACAATTCCCCTTAGTGACCTGTGAAACTAAAGAGATCAGTGCTCCCAACACTCCCATCATACAATGGTGGGACTGGCATAGGAGAACAGTTAGAGACATTCCAGTTCAACAGGGGGGAAATGGAAGGTACAAATGAGCCACTGCCATATAACAATTCTGACATCCATCTGCGCAAATGTTGGATGTTTACTGCTTAAGGTTTAAGATCTGGGAATAATCTTCCGTGGTGCTCAGATCCTCTGAGTCATCCTTGCTTTTTCATGAAATGTAGCACATGTTTACAGGTGAGTAATTTTTTTTTTTTTTTTGGCCACACATTGCAGCTTGCAGGATCTTTAGTTCCCCAACCAGGGATCAAACTCAGGCCCTGGCAGTGAAAACACCAAGTCCTAACCACTGGACCACAAGGGAATTCCCAACAGGTGAGTAATTTTATCAGCCTGCTTCCCACCAGCTGAATTTTGCTGGGTCTAATAGCCTCTGCTATTTGTTAGAGTAGCACACCACTCCTGATACCAATCTCTGTCTTAGTTTTCTATTGCAGCATATAACAAATGACTGCAGCTTAAAACTACAGACATTTATTATCTCCCTGTTTCTGTAGATCAGAAGTCCAAGCATGACTTACCTGGGTTTTCTGCTTAGGGTCACAACCAGGCTGCAATCCAGATACTTCCTGGGGCTAAGGCCTCATCAGAAGTTTTACTGGGGAAAGATCTGCTTCCAAGCTCATTCAGGTTGTCGGCAGATTTCAGCTCCTTGCACCTATAGGACGTGAGACCGCTGGCCCTAAAGGTCGTATCATAGCAGGTGGCTTCTTCAAGGCAAGCAGGAGAGTCTCTCTTGCTCCAGTCAGCTGAGATCTAGCCTTATTTAACATAGTATAAACATGGGAAGGATATCCCGTCACTTTTACATCCCATCATCTTTGCTATATTTTATTAGCTGGATGAAAGTCACAGGTTCTGCTCACATCCAAGGGGATAGGATCATACAAGGGCATGACTCAATGGGGGCCACTTTAGTCTGTGTCCACCACACGTTCCTTTGTCTCCATTACCTTCGTCAACCTGAGAAAAATTCCTCATGCCTTTCATATGAATATACCCAGTATTTGGAACAAAGCCTGACACACCAGGGTGCCAGATAATTTAAAGTGATCAAACTTTTGATCCCAGGACCCCTTTATACCCTTAAAAATATCATTGAGGATCTGAAAGAGCTTTTGTTTATATGGGTTATAGCTACTGATATTTATTGAGATGTTTAAAAATTCACTTAGTTCATTTAAAAGTAAAAATAACCTCATTATATATTAACATATATTACATTTTTAAATTATATTTTCAAAAAATTGTAAGAAGAGTAACATTGTTCTACATTTTTGCAAATCTTTTTTAACATCCAGCTTGATATTAAGACAGCTGTTTTCTCATATCTCTTTCACATTCAATTTCACATCATGTGGCTTCTAAAAAACTCCTCTGTACACTCAAAGGGAGACTGAGAATTAAAAAGACAAATAGTGTTATTAAAAATACATTTGGACCTTGTGGGCGCCCTGCAAGGATCTTGAGGACCTCCTGGAGTCCCCGGACCACACTCGGAACCATTGATTTAGAGAACTGTCATGAACTGAGGGAAGGACGGCACTTTGATACATTCGAAAAGTACTTACCGAATGCCTACTCTGTGCTCGCGTGGGTTCAAAGGGAACTCTGTCCTCAAGGTACTCACAGCAGAGCGAGAGAAGAAAGGTTAAGGACCGCTTTAGTTCACTTTTGAGCTGAGGCTGAAGTGACAAAGGACGGGCCAGGTAGAGATCTGGAGAACGAGAGTTCCAGACAGAGAAAGGGGACGCCCTCCAAAGGCGCTGAGCCCTGCCTGGTTGGAGAGCAAGCGGAAGGCGCGAGGACGGCATGAGGTGGGCTGGGCCGGAGGAGGCAGAGCCAGACGAGGAATTTCGAGTTTTAAGTCTACATTTCTCTCTTTCTTTTTTTCAGACCGCACCACGCGGCTTGCGGGATCTTAGTTGGCCCACCAGGGATGGAACCAAGGTCACCAGTAGTGGAAGCGCGGAGTCCTAACCAGTGAACCGCCTGGGGAGTCCCTAAGGCTAAATTTCCCAACAGTGTATGGAGAGGAACGGAAGGGGGTGGGCAGGGAGGAACGGCTTAAGGAGGCGAGTCTGGAGGTGCGGAAGGTCACTCAGAAGTCAAGCACCCGCTCCTGCGCCGGGGCCAGTTCTGCTTCTCTGAGGCACGGAAACGTGCCTGGAGCCTCAAATCCGCTTAACTACACCACAGGGCCGGGAAAGCGCGCACACTATCTCGAGGAAGTTTGGGTCTCGGCGCCCGCCGTAGACGTCGTGCCAGAGGCGGTCCGTTGTCTTGGAGCCGGCAAGACGCCGTTAGGCCTCCCCCGCCGCGGTCACCATGTCGGTGCTGGATGCGCTTTGGGAGGACCGGGATGTCCGCTTCGACGTGTCCTCACAGTGAGTCGCCAAGATTCCCCAGTGGCCGGGAGCCTGTAGAGGGCGCCGCGGCGCGATTTCCCGACCCGGAGGCGGAGCCTAAGGCCCTCGCGAGGGTGGGAGGAGGTTGGCGTCTGCTGTCCTCACCTCAGGAGACCCCAGACTGTCCGGGGCCCAGCGGCCCTCCCCAGGCGCCACAGCCGGAGCGCGTCTAGATTGTACGCAGTTTCGGTCCCTTACGATCCCCGGTCGCGGCTTGACCCGGGGGACCTGTCAGAAGCTGAGCCCAAACACTGCAGGGACCGCCTTGGGCTTGGGCGTCCAGTACACCCCAGTGAGCTTATGGTGCCAGTTTCGTATGGTGGAAGGAACGTGGAGCAGGGACTCTGGAAACGAAGGTTCGGAAACTAGGTCTAGAATAAGGACACACATTGTGGGCCCTTAGAAAAATGACTTCACCGTTCTAAAGCTTGAGTCTCCGAGGGAAGTGAGAGTAAGCATTCTCCAAAATCCCTAACCATGCAGACTTTATTTCCGCGGTAAGCTTCGTTTCTAGTTATTCATCTAAATCACCAACAGGAAGAAGGAACCCTCTTTTGGAGCCTCTCAAACAGAAGCCCTGTTTTTGGAAATTTTCATGTTTTAACGAGAATAGTTAGAAACCTCCTGCCGGCAGTCCAGGAAAAAAGTGCCCATTGGGATAGTAAGCGTTGGAAAACAGTAAAGCTAAGGTTCTTGGGTTGACGGTTTGGAGCTTCTTAGCCAATTCGCATGATTCTTTATTATGAATAGAACTTTCTTAGGTGGAAAAAATGAAATATTAATTTTCCAGGCTTAGCTGTGGCTAGATATATAATACTGACATGGTCTTGGATCCTTTAAGGCGTTGTGAGGGAAGGGAATTTATCAAGTTATAAGCAACGGTTACATATTGCACACATTCTTTGACTTTTCCTGCTATTCTTGGAGGGTTCTTAAGCAAAGATTCATTTCATGAACATTTTCGGTTTATTAAACATTTATCAGATGCTTACTACGTACTGGTGACTGCGCTGATAGCTAAAGATACAAAAATAATAGGCAATGACGCCCTTCCCCCACCCCACCCCCATTCTACTGCAGGAGGTAGATGTAGACAACTAACTACAAAAAATGTGGCAAATACCGTCATGGAAAAAATGAACCAAAAGCTGGAGGACCATAGAAACAGAAAAGTTCATTCTTCCTAGGGAAGGCCTCAAAGAAAAAGTAATATTTGAATTGAGCCCTGATGAATGGTCAGGGCCTTGCTAGGGTATACAGGAGGAGAGTATTCCAGAAAAAAGAAAAGGAAGAAAAGAAAAGAAAAAAATTAGATGCAGAGTCTTAGAGGTATAAATCTCATTGGCTAGAAGCAGGGTCTGGCAGGTAGAGAAAGGAGGTGCAAATAGAAAGGTAGATTAGCTAGATTGTGAAATATTCAGTCGAGGATTTTGGACTTCATCATCTAGGTAGTGGGGTAATATGGCTTTTCAACAGTGAAGTGTATGATCATGTCTGTATTTCCAGTAGGTAATTGAGTTGGCTTTATTGAGAATGTGTTAGAAGGCTGTACCCCATATTCTGCTAGGTTTTTCTTTTCTTTTCTTTTGGCACTCTAGATTGCATTCTATCAGTCAGCAACCTATTCTTCATTCTTTATTTCCTTTTGTCTCCTTTATCTGATTGTGTACCAAGTCCAAATGTTGCTTTGCTTTAATCTGTTCCTTCCATAACTGCATGACTCCTTTGCTTTACTCAGAAACCTCTGGGACTTCTCCACTGTCCACAGGATAAAACCCATATCTATCTGACTGACATTCTAGGTTATCCATAATCTGGTTCCTTCTTACCTATCCTACTATATTTTTCACTACCTCTCAACATGTACCTTCTTCCCCAGCCAGGCCAGTCTTCCTACATTCTCTTATCATTTCTTATTTCTGGTCCTTAATCATAGATTCTCCTCTCTCTCTTTTATTTCTCCAAATTCTACCTCTCCTTTAGTTCTGACTTCTCTCCATGTCCCTGGTCACTCCAGGCCCCACTTGATCTCCAGGTTCTTTAAGTTCTTGAAAACCTTATTTTCAAATGCCTGAGCATTTGGTACTGTATTATTTATACTTTTGTCTGTTTTATATGCATATGCCTTTTCTCTCCCTCACTAGTTGGTAAGCGGGTATAGTTGTAGCTAAAAATTAAAGCCTTTATATTTATTTTAGACAAATGAAAACAAGACCTGGAGAAGTCCTTATTGATTGTTTAGATTCAATTGAAGACACCAAAGGAAATAATGGGGATAAAGGTGAGTATATTTCTAATGTATTTTGTATTTCTGGTTTAAATTACAAACGTTAAGTTATATTAGCTGGAGAATAAGATATGAAACAGCATTATATGTCAATTATGGTTCCTGATGCCCCACCCCATACCATTGTAATAAGTCCTTCTGTAAATAAAACCCAGTTATCCTAATTTAAGTGAGCCATCTCTTTTCTCTTTGACCCTGACTGATAGAGGCAGGTCTAGTCCTCTGTGATCTTGTGGGAACTTTACACTCTAGCCATGCTGGGTGACTTACTATTTGTCAAACATACCATGTAATGTTCCACAGTTTCTCTTGAGACCGCCTTCCTTTGTTTTTAGGACCTCCTATCCCATCTCACTCCAGCATTCACACAGGCTTAGTTTCTCTGATTTTAGATATTCTAGGGGTTTTTTCAGGGAGGAAGGAGTATGACATGGCTATAGATTACTCATCAAAAGAATTCCATTGTTATAATTTGCTTAAGAAATGTGTTAAAGTTAAGAGAGTTAACTTAGTTCAAGATATTAGTTCAAGATATTTCAAAACTATCCTCATATGCTAATTGTATTACAAACTTCTAAGACACATAGTTTACCATGCACAGATTTGCTTGACTTTTTTTTTTTCTTGGAGCATCTATAGGGACTACTATTTCATAGGACATACTTTGAGAAATGAAGTTTATCTAACTTGGTACATATTTCAGTGTAAGAACATCAGTTTGAGGCTAAGAATGAAAAGCATAAGCCTTTAAAAAACAGACTTCAGCCTAGCCGTAACTTCATATGAGGAAAAAGTTTGCTCACAGCAAAAAAACTGGGTGTATGAGTATATGGCTCATTTAAATGAGAACTGCTAAGAGACTGCTCAAAGGCAGGGATTCATATATATATGAGAGTTCTTTGAGAAGTGTGATTTCACTGAATGGCTTAATTAATTATACTGTCCTGTACTCATACTCAATTGGACGCATATAACCTACTGGGACACCCAGAACAGCTTCTACTGAGAAAAAAAAAAAAAAACAGTACAAAGTTTTCTCCTCTGTCAGTTGAGTCAAACCAAGGTGTTGGCAGTGAATACCTGTATTTTTTCAGTAACTATCAGATTTTGTTTCTCTGAGATTCTGAATCACACATTGTATACCTTACCTAGAATGGATATGCGCAATAAGTATTTTCAATTAATAACTGTATGAAAAACATCTGTGGGTATTGCTGTTGGTACTGGGCCAGAAGTTTCATGTCCATCTCATTCTATACTGCAAAAATGGGTCCTTATTTAAGGTAATTTATTTTTCTGTTTGTTTGCTTTTAGGTAGACTCTTAGTAACAAATTTAAGAATTATCTGGCGCTCTTTGGCATTACTCAGAGTCAATCTTTGTAAGTATCTTTGTTAGCATGAAAGAAAAAAAATAATTTGTCAAGTAAACTTGCACAGTGGCTTTTGACACCAAAAGAAGCTATACTATGAAATATGTGAAAAACTTTAATTGATAAAAACTTAAGAAATCCTAGACTAACCACAGACTGCCTCATAATGCAAAAGGAATGTTTTTTTGAGTCTGTCCATTTTGTCTCTTGGACATATACAGGATTAGTGCTTTTACACTGAATGATTTTTGGTTTCGTTTTTTACTTTACTTTGAAACTTGCTATAACCTGTTTCAAGTAATACCAAAGAAGGGAGATTAAATTCTAATAAAAGTACAATCTTTCATTGTGTTAAATTTTGTTTCATTTGGTTTTTTAAAGGTATCATAGATTTTCCAGCTAGACTTTTTCTCTTGATGTTGTGGTGCTAAGATTTTTAGTAAATAATACTGTATAGGTTTTAGAGAAGCAAACCTCCTTTTTCCCCATGTTGAGAATACTTTTGTTCAAAAGAGGCAGAATTATCTTTCTAGTCCTTTTAATTATTTAACTTAAATTTGTAGATATTTCATAAAAAATATTAATTGTATTTTTATATATATTTAATTTTTTAAACT